TGCCTACCTATTTACATGTAATCTAATTTTGACAATATCTTTCCTTCATGGCGTATTTTCCTTGCATTCTCCGACTTTTTTTGCATTTCTCTAAAATTATATTTTAGTGTTTATGTACTGCTTAATTCCTTTGCAACTACTGAAAAAATATATTAACAAGTGAAATGCAAAATATGGCGTTAGCCACCGCGATTAATTTGATCCCTAATGTACTTTAAAAATGCTGCAAAGTTTGAGGTGGGGTTTCGACGTAATAGTAATAATCTGAAATGTAGTATTTTCGAAAAGAATGTACTTGTGACTACGCGATTTTTCTATGAAATTTAAACAGGCTTCTTAAAGACAATGCCAAGCCTCTAATTTAATCAATTGATGGTCGATATTAAATTTAACAATTAACGCACATAAGTCATTAATGTTTATTGCAGACTGTTTCATTTTTGACTGTGTTCTTTTTTATACCCGGAAATTTGGATTTGAACATAATTGCTGTTTCTGGTTTGTTGAACTTAAGTTCAAAGGTTAGGTACTTATGCACTCCATGGTAGAACTACGCCTTGCATATTTCGTTCCAGCACTTAAATGAACTGCAATCCTTTGTGAATATTCATTATCATGTTTTCATTTTATCGATGGTCTTAGAAAAGTGAATTTTAATTTCAATGCCTTTTTTTGATAGACTAGCTTTGAAAAGAGTTGATCTTTTCGTCTTAGTCCCTTCAATAATTAATCAGACATCGTTCTCTCCGATTGTAGATTTTCCTTGGATTGGCTACCCACGAACCAAATCTCTGTATTCTCCGTGAAAATGTCTATACAGTCAAGTAACTTACTTAATCTTCACCTTAATAGTTAAAGTGTACAAATAACTGTGTAACGGATTCCTTTCATTCTATCCTTTACAGATCCCCAATTCCGCAAAATATTCCATTCTGCCTTGTTCATTTATCGCTTTTACGCGAATACATTGGTCTGGAATTCGGGGATCTCAAGGTATTTAATGAAATCTCTCACTCATTTGTCTTATTTCATATGATTTACAAATATATATATATATACATTTCCTTTCTTTCAGGATGAAATTTCCTTTCCTTTTGATCTGGAGAGAATTATCGATGATTGGATATTTATGGGCTATTTCCTTGGCAACGACTTTATTCCCAATCTTCCCAACATGCACATCCATGCAGAGTCCTTTATTTTCCTCTGGGATACCTATCATGTGGTTTTACCCAAATTAGATGGTTCGTACACTATTTTTTTACTGACGATCATAGGAAATTGACTTAGTGGTGGCCTATTGGTTATTTTAAATGTTTGTAGGTTATATCAATGATTTTGGGAAGCTCAACTTAGAACGCTTCCATGTGTTTATTACGGAGCTGGCATCGGTGAGCGCATTACCATTTTTTTTCTTATTATCTTTTCAGTTATCAGTATCGAGTGATCCTTTCATTGCATTTTATTCCACTTGCTTATGTACCATTGCATTTGGGGTTTTCTCGTCTCTTTACCGTATATTTTAGACACAATCGATTTTAATCGCGTAGTATGGAATCTTTATTCATATCTTAAGCTCTCTTCTCTATTTTTAAGGATCTCGAACATCAATCTCACACCTACTTTAGAAAGGATCTAATAATGGGTTTTGACATGTTTTTTATTTTTTAAGTGTCAAATTTCTCAAGGATATAGAATTCGTAATTTAATTATCCCTTCAAAGTCCCCTCTTCTGAAATCTTATAGTTTGACAGATCTCACCTTGCTTTCACCCCTATGTGCATTGGAAATGAAATATTTTCCATTGTTGGCAAAAGAGTACCATCTCTGAGTCATTTTTTAAGCGCACTTTATCAATCTGGATAGCCATTCCACCCACCAAGTAGACATTGAACCATCGACCTCCGATTTCGCTAGCAGGCATTTCAATTATTGTAGCACTTGCTCGCTCTCCCATCAGCAATGCCCCTCATTTGGTCTTCTCATTATTAATTTACTAGAATTTCTAAGGTTTATTTCTTTTGGTATTAATCCTCAATGTAAAAATGGCACTATTGTACCTGCTAGTAAATAATCCCTTATTCAGCTATTCCTCTATTGGTTAATGTTGACCAGTATGGTTACTAGCTATTCCAATCGTTTGACATGTACCGACGGATCGAGTCCTCTTGCTTAGTTACACCATTTTCCTTACTTTTACACAGTTTGACATGCATTGGTTTGCCGAGAGCCAAGCCGACCAGCGTTGGATGCATGGTAAACACGGGGCTAAGATGGCGCGGGAATTGCAGCGTCTGGGTAAAGAAAAAGCCATGCCATCGAACGAACCACCGCTCAAGCCAATTAAACCCCAGCCGCCAAAAGCATCAACTTCAACTCCCGGACAAGAGGGGAAGGAGGAGGAGGAGTCGATTGTGGGCTTCTTTGGCGATGACGACCCCTCTATTCTTCCACTTAACTCGATTGAAAGTGTTGATGAAAAGCTAGCTGTTTTGATGGCCAACGTCAAAGTGGATATACCTATCCCATCACAGGTTGCATCACTTGAAGGTTTGTTGATTGGAAATGTACATTAATGTGTTGTCTAATGTTTATGATAATAGCGTAACCATGACCATGATATCAAGATGGTTATTGATTTGTCTTAATTTTCAATTCTTTTTTCCTCCCTATGGCTCGTTCTTCTACTGGCACAAGTTTTCTGCCTGCTATCTACATGATGGTCACCTCCCCTTGTTTATTAATTAACTCCTAAAAGACAGAAATCCCAAACTGTCAGCATCGACTTTGTCTTTTGAAGAACAAAAATTTCAGATAGATGAAAGCTAATTTTTTTGCGAATGAGGGGTCGACATTTACATGGGGGAATGGATAATGTGGAGGCAAAACCCATGTAGTTGGATTGGAAGTGCGCCATATCATTACACCACACTTCCTATGCGAAGTGTTCATACATTGAGGTGGACTATACCTCAGCTTCTAGCTTCTTACAGGTTTTCACTGTGTCCATGTTGGTCTGTGGGCTGGCAACTACCTTCATATTTGTCAGAGGGGTTGCTGTCCGAGCCTACTTTTAATTCTCCTCAGTAGTAGCACTCTTTACGGCTTACAACCACACTGGAATCGCCTTCACTGTCTGAGTCTATAGTTTTCCTTTATTTGCAAGGGCATAAAAGAATTATTAGATCATTCTGTCTTTTCCTTTAGAAATAGAGCCCGACATCTCCGACACGGAAGATGGTGAAAGTTGCGACCTTTCAGGTACCATATCAGAAGGTACTGAAAGTAGTGACTTTTCGGACTCTACTGCAGAGGATGAATGCTTAATTGACCAAGAATGGATGCATCATCATCGCCCTCCTCCCCCCTCGCATATTGGAACAGACTCCATTGACAGTGAGGAGGACGAAGATACCATCTCCTACCGTATGCATCGTCAAGAATATTACTCACAGAAATTGAAGATCGATATTCGGGGCACTTCCAGACGTCCTGATGAGTCTTTTGTAGAGGCCGCCCTCTTGCCCATCTGTCAGAAGTATGTGGAAACTCTCCAATGGGTTCTTGATTACTACTTTAAAACAGTAGTCGATTGGCAACACTACTATCCCTATCACTACGCGCCCTTTGTCTCCGACCTTCCTTTTTTCACTAAGAGATTTCTTAAGGATGGACCGGATCATGAGAAGAGACATAATTGGACTACCTTTGAACCCGATACTAAGCCCCTTTTGCCCTTTGAACAGCAGATGTTCATTATGCCAATTTCGAGCGCTAGAATCCTGCCACAACCCTACAGGTGTCTTTTTGCGGAAGATAGTCCTGTTGCAGAGTTCTTTCCCGATAAATTTCAGACAGATGTCAATGGAAAATTGGCTGATTGGGAGGCTGTGGTGCTTATTCCATTCATTGATGAGGTTAGTTTTCAAAGCTACTTATTTCACTTAAGTAACATCATACCTTATTTTGTTGCTTTAAGGTGATGGTTCACATCCTTGTTCCAATATATTTCTGTGGCTTACCGCTTAATCTATTAATCTTATACCCTTTATGTTTATTGTGTTATACGTTAGGATCTCAATTGTCAATGAATGTGATCAAGGCCTTGTTGTACTAAGCAAGATGTCCACAGTATTAAGCTGTTAATTGTAAGCTCGTGGTGGTGTTTAAAAGTCTATCTCACTGGACCCAAGATCAGAAGTAAAGTTTGACTGAATTCGCTTAATGTCCTAAGAATTGTATAGTTTTTGTTCATCAAATAATATTGTCCGTTAACTGATCTACACTGAGGTCAGTCATTGTCAATCGGGGTGGCCATCGTTAATTGGGTATGTGAAAGTGGTCTACTTTGCAATAACAATTTATCACTAAGAACGAACTGCTTTCGCTCAGTAACTTGGATGTGATCTTAATATGAGTTCTGAAATGGTCTTCGCGTCACGAATATCTTTATGTTCGTTTGGATCTGAATTTGATTGGCAAATTAGCAAAGCAAAAATGCTGATACTCGGTCTCTGGGTATTTTTAAAGCGTCTGATAGATAAATGAGTATATAAGGGGAGGACATCCATGTTGGCTCATGTGATAGTTAGTGCCTTCATACTGCATAGTGGGGCTACTACCCCAGTCTACTTTCAATTCCTCAACCACTACTTTATCGGTGGTCTAAAAGATGAAATGCAACTAAGGAATGGGTCAATTTATCATGTCATTACATGTAATGCGAGTACTGATAATACTAGTCTAGTTTACGACTTTTTAAGCACCAGAGGGTATTTCGAACTACGTTGAGGATTCCCAAGTGAACTCGGCCAGTCCGATTCACGTAGTTTGATATTTTGTAAACTACAATTGATTTGATAGACAAATTATGCACCTTTGAGAATAGGGAGTGGAGGGGGGGGGGTCAACTGTACCGTGCCTCAAGGAGATTTTGCCGTGTGGCATGAAACTGATGGCCCTGATACCGTAACCTATCATTTTCAAAGAGAATCTATTTGAATACAGTGATATTTCTTAAGACATCTTCTACCTAGATTTCAGTTTGATAACGTTAGATGTCGGGCTTTCATATCTTGCCGAATTCCTTACCATTATAATCTTTTGTATACCATTATTACTTACTTAACTTGACACCAATGATCAGAAAATTGGTTTTGTTTCTATTTAAACTCCTTATTTGAGATGTTTATTATGCTTGAGGATTGTTAAGAGGTGGGTATTGTCGTTTGTCTCTGAACCTATTGATCTATTTAATATTTCTTATTTTAATAGGCAAAAATGTTGGCAGCAATGGTTCCTTTGACCCGTTTTCTCTCTCCGGAAGACTCTAAACGCAATATTCATCATGGTCACCAGCTCTTGATGGTGAGTGGCAGAGAAAAACTCGATTTTGCAGACAAACCTACCTTTGAAGATCTACTCACTGAAGAAGTCGACGGGGAGTTCTATCGATCGCATGTCCTCTCCGATCCTGAGCAATGTGTCAAGGTGTACTGCAAGTTGCCCAGACCTGTTCATCCCTCCTATCCCAGTCTCTATCGAGTTCCCTTCACTTCCACAACTGAACATGTTGGTGTTACGGTAAGCGTGTCTGATGGCCGAATGCCTATTTTGTTTTCTTTTTCAATTTCTTATGAAGTGCTTTTAGTTTATGGACGCGCCCAGTGGGTTATTTTATCTCCAATTTTCTTTAATAAGCATGTGAAGGCGACTTTCATAAACACCGTATGCTAAAACAAATGCCCGATACTACTTGCAATGATGTCATTGGAGGGTTTTTTAAAGAGGACGGCGAGTGAAAAAATGTGTCCCTCTTTCCAAAATGACCAAAATCTTCTATAGCAAATTTTAGGTTTAATTGAGTGTACATTCTTTGTTCCTGTGAATTGCCATTTTTTACCCCGGTTTTAACACACTACATTTATATTTTCGTTTGCAAGCTGATATGGGGAGTTTGTTGGTGTGAATTATGTTGTGATTTGTTCCAGTATGAACATTTGATTGGAGAACCAGCAGTAATTTCGCAATTATTGCTGTCTCTTACACTTGGTTCTTTTTGTTAAGTAAATTGGGTTTTACATTGATTGATTGACTTTGTGGTTTTTGTATTCCATTCCTCTCTCTCTTTTTTTAGACGTTTTCATTTGCAAGCAAGGGTCAGAGTATTCTCCTCACGGTGAACCATCCACTTGGGAGGAATGAGGATGTTGGACCAGCTCCTCTTCGCCAAATAGCTAGGACTTTCCTCGGCCATCCTGTCTACACTGGATGGCCTTACTCGCGTCTTGTGCTCCCAATCGCTGTATTGGATGAGAAAGAAATGTAAGTTCAAGAACTCAGCGTATTGAGAATTTCGCTTTAGAACCCAGGTGTCAACACATTCTAATTCATCGCATCTTAGCGTCTCGTAATCAGTTGTCATTAGAATATGACATTTTGCCACCAATAGATAATGTGGGAGGGGGGTTAATATGGAAATTTCCCTTTGTTCCAAATTGCTAGTTGGTATAAGTCAGGGTTCTTGTTAATATGAACGCGTTTTCTCCTGCTTAATTAAGGTATAACTGATGGTATCGTGTATAATGATATTCCTGAATTTTTACCGACTATGTGGGTTGTTGTGTTGCTTTTATGTCTAAGTTCGCATTTGTTTAAATGATGACTTAAACTCAAATCTGAATATGCGTGCAACATTTGGCTATGATTTATTGTGCCCCCTATTCGTTTATATTTCTCAGTGCAGTCAGTAAACGCAATGCTGTGGTCCATTTAACTGTAAGACTGAATATTTTTTACTTAAAGCATCGTTGTTCAATATCCTTGCAGTACATTGATTCTAACCTCTTTACACACATACACACACACTCTCTGTGGGTGTTTTTCATCGGTTGACCTCTTGTCCTTAGACCCTCTGCATCTTTTTTTCATAGCTTCGTTTAATGTCTTGAACTGATAGTATTTTTGAATCATCTCAGTACTCGATGGAATGAATTGAACGCACCCAATGATTCAATAGCATTAAGAATGTATTGATGATTGGAAGTATGAAGGATTTAATGTAAGCGGGAGTGTCCACACTCCATGATTTATTCGTAACACTTCGCACAAAAGCATCCATATCCGTCACTGAGGCCAACAGGATGAAAGTGTCTTCAAGTAGATTAGTATTGACTAATTGTCGGTAACTATGCACAATTGCACGGTTTTTATCATGACGTAATAGAAATAGCTAATTCTGTGCCATTGTTTTGACGTGATAAGGTATATTGCTGTAAGTAGACAAAGTATTTATAGCACGTGATTATGCCATATTTGTTTTTTATTCGGGCCATTAATGCTCATTGATTCGGAAGAATTATGTAGAAGTTCCACACCTCTCCAAATAGCCAGTCATGCTTGTCGAAATCTGACCATGGGTTTTTGCAGTATATTTTTTGAGGGTGTAGAACCATGATAAGCCTACTGACGTTTATTCCATATTCTTAGCAGAAGGATTTAGAATTTGGACATTCTGTTCTGATCAGTGGTAAATTTGCCATCGCTTTCTGGTTTAGGACTTGGAGTATGTTAAGAATGTTAGTTCTCTCACTCTACCCTTATTAATCTAGTTTTGAAGTTGACATGTCTTCGAGCAAGACTCGGGTTCTTAATCGGACCAATTTGCGACAACAACCGGATTCACCCCTCTGGTCTTCAGTAAAATGGCTTCAATCCCAATCCGAGTTGTGTGTCTCGCGTCTTCATGATCGATGTGCCATCACCTTGGCCGGTGGACAACCTCGTGCCGCTCTACTCTGTCTTCCAGTTAGAGATGCTGCCTTCTCTATCTCTGTCAATACCTCGTAAGTCCGCATGGACATAATTACTTTGAGGCTCATTGTGTGTGTGTTTATAGTTTTGTCCTAAAACTATGCGCAAACGGTAGGAAGAAAGCGAGGGATTTAGTCATATAAATTATCAATTTTTAGGTCTAGCAGAGTGGTAGCTGGAAAACAAAGACTTACAAGGCGAAGTTAATAGATGGGCGATGCTGGCTGGAAGCACTTAAAACGAAGAAAATCCGAATGGAAATTTGTTGGATATTATAACGTTGGAGGGTAAGATTGCTTCCAAGCATATGCAGGTAAAGGTCATTGGAATAGTTAAACGATAGTGTAGGACCCAGCTTCATATACCCATGGCAAATAGGGCGTTGAGAATAGGTTAGATTTACGCCCCTGACGACCATTTGAGGTGTTACTAGGAGTTTCGATTGACGTGCCGGTAAGTGCATGGTGAATACTTGCGGTTCTGGTAATTTATAAGCTGTCTATAAACAGTAATTTCTTATCCGGAAAGGGTCAACCCCGTACAACTGATGGACATTCAATTCGAAACTGTATTTCTTGAACGAATACATTTTATATTCTTTGCAGCAATCCCTCCCTTGTCCACGTTCGTCCTATGTGTCTTAAAACCCAGAATTTGAACAAACAGTTTGGCGAAATTCGAAATCAGCGTCATGCTAGCCATAAATCCAAGACTACTTTTGGCGGTGGACCACGAACGAACAAGCAGTCCCTGTGTCACGATTCCAACGTGAGCATCCCCATCTCCTCGGAGGCCACTTTGGAAATCCTTGACCTCACCGTAGAACCGTCATCGACTGCTGCTTTTGATCGCGCTCTCTTTGAAGTCTTTTCTCGAGCTGACAAGGTCATTGTTTTCGATAGGCCTAAGTCAAAGAACTTTGGAAGACTTGGCGAAGTAATTAGCTTACCTTTTTTACTTTGAATGACAATTAAAATGAGACCGCTGGGAAATATCTTAATTGTGTCATACCATCCCTATTCAGGTTGTGGGCACGACGAGTTGCAATAAGCTTGAAGTGAAACTTCTTCCCGAAATACCACCACCGAAGAATCATAGTGGTGTATTGAAAATGGCGACTGTGAGTCAATTGAACATTTTTGTTAATTAAACGTTTTTAAATAGGAAGGGAATAATTTAATATATATAGCACTGTGAGTTGTGGGAATGTTCCGAAGTCGGATTTTCAAGATTTAATCCCAGAATTTGCGTTTGAGTTCATGTACGATATATTCAGGGTTTGTCTATTTAATTGAGTAATTCACTGTGCCGTCTTACAACAAGTACATGAAGATGCGACTAGTAAATACTGTTTTAATTTCTCCAGAACTCGAACCTTTCCAGTTTATTGTATTCTGCACAACAACACATAATGGAAACAATCAAGACGATATATACTCGACGTCTGTTAGAAAGAAATAGAAAACAAGGGATTGTGAAGAGAGGACTCATTAGCAGGTTGCTGCATAATTTGGCTAATGTTTACGGTCAATCTTGGTTTTAAGCTCCACTTGCACTTAGATAGGAGCTAAATTACTTATAGCAAAAACAGTAGGACCTCCAACGAGCTCGACTTGCTAGTGAAGGATCCTTTTTAAAGGTTAATAGCAATCACAGCCTTGACCAAAATTAGAAGATCAAAAAAATTTAGATAGAGTGTGTATTGGACAAATGTATAAGGATAACGGAGGACGACGTCGAAGTAAGTGCTTCAACTTGGAACATGAATAGGCTCTTTTATTCCACTAGTGTAATCTGAGCTGTATTAAACAGCTCGATTCCGCTTAAGTGAGTTATACGATCTGACGTTCTTTGTTCATGGAAGTGCAGCTAGCAGTTGTGCACAAATTATTGCTAACCTTACATAGTTATAAGTCGTGGTCTATCCCTAGGTCGTTTAGAACCCATTGGGGAATCCGAATTCCCATGTAGAACCCACACGTTAATACCCTTCCCCCTTTGTTTGTAGGAGGCAGATGATGCTTGTTTCTTGACTGTCCAACAAATTTCTCGCGAACTACACCTCACCCAGCATGTCATCCAACGTCTGGTTGGAGATTTTATGGTGTGGGTACCTCAACCTCCGCTTGCTGATCATAACCCCGCTACTCGAAGCACACCATCTCGATCAGCTGACGATCGTCGCAATTTCGCTAATCTTGGCTTCAATCTGCGTCTGCACAATGATCAAGCTTTTGTAAATTTGTGCATGTTGTGTTCTTTTTGTGGTAAATTGTCTATTGCTATCAGTGCTTGTCACCAGATGTAGTAATCGTAACTCCGATAATATGGCTATCTTAGGAACTTCACTAAATTAGGCCGCCAGGAAACAAACGCTTTCTTCCGATTAAAAGGTCATGTTCAACCATGTTTAATAAACAACTGGAAAAGAATGAGGATGAAAAGGCCGGATTGGGGGGGGGGGGGGCATGGGTACTGCTTTGAAGTCTTAGAAGTATTTAGGTTAATGGTGTTGTTTGGTTTTGCGGATATTGTTCCTTGATGATCGATTTATTCAGATCATCAATTGAGAATTAGAACGCTTGCAGATATTAGCCAATACGTTCGTGCGGTATATGTAGAGACCGAGCAGATCTGGGTTATTCTGTGTGCACTTCAAGCCACCAGTTTTATAAGCCTTCACACTCTTGGAAACCGACGTCTGTGTGGCTTATTTGAGTCTTAATTTAATGGAGTACTCCCGACGATCAAGCAATCTTGTCGCCTTGTGGGTGAAGCTGCCTTATTCGCAACTTGTCTTTTATAGCCATCGTTGATTTCCGGATGCAGGTCTCCAATTTCGTAATCACTTTCTCTTTCCATATTGAAAACTCTGCACTCGGCCTGCGAAATGTCTTTTATTGCTTGGTTAAGAGAGCTACAGCTAATTGATTGAAATTTTCATTGTTCACTTGTTTTCTGTTATATTGGTGGCCTAATTTGAATGCCTTTAACATTATTTGCTTGACATTCCTGTTTATTTTCAGGTGGTAGGCTGGAGCCACTTCTCGACCATCCGAAACTGCTGGACGTATTCACGTCGCACTGTGGAGGCTTTAGCCCAGTACAATCAACTCTTCCCTGATTTGGTCAATTTTATCGGCGCTTTCGATATGCACAAACCTCCACCCAAAATGAGCTCGATTTACCAACAAAACACTTTGTAAACTTCGCGTACTTAAGTATTATGAAATGCCAATATTTCTGCCTTTTAACAATGATTTGCGTTGTTTTAGTGATAATTACATTAACATACGCAATTTCCTCCGCACAAAAGTGAAAAGTAATCGAACGGTCACGGATGTGGGTGCTCCCCTTTTGAATTCCAGTGGCCTATCCATAATCGAGAATCATCTTCTACCGGATCAACCGGCTCAAGTCCATCCACCTTCCAGAAATGTTCGAATTAAAGTTGCTCCTACCGATTTATTTGTTGTGAGTGTTTTTATTAGTTTCTTTTTCCTTTAATTCATCATCTGTTTGGTCGAGAGAATTTTAGCCAATGAGCATCTACCAAGATCGCATTGACGTTCTTACTTACAGCTTGCGCCAAATCCCTCCAAGACACCTACCAAATTAAGCATATAAACATCTCATCGTAAAAATTTATTTATTTATTTCAAATGTCAGGCGTCTTGATAGTCATCATTAGCCCTTTAGTTGAATTCGGACTTCACAGAAGGTAGGAACAGGCAAGGTCGCAAAATGTCGAGAGGGGGAACAAGAGTGATCCACAGATATAAAAGAGACAGATTCAGACACAGTGGCGGAGAAGAAGCATTGTGAGTACTGTGGAAGTGGTGGAATATGACAAACAGTGTGGCCATGATTGTTTGAAGTCTAAAGTCAACTGCCAGTTTATAGACTTTTTTGCCGTATGAGCATACGTTGCCCAGGGTGCACCACGTGGGGTGAGTCTATCGCACACCCCTCTCATCGTAAAAATGAATTATCTTCCACGAGTGTATTGGTTAAAGTCAAGAAATGGTAGAAAGTATATGAAGTTGGCATAATTGAATATTGCGACTATATGGCATTGTATCTCTAAGGCTCTATTATGCCCTCAAGGGAATGTGTTTGAAAACAATGTTGTTTTAATGTTACTACTGCATTTCCTGCTTCGTTTCGTCCTTAATTGCATTTCATTTTATATCTTTCCTTATAATTATAACTAATGACATGATAAACGGTCTTTCCATGGGGTGTGCGATAGACTTACCTCCACGTGGTGCACCCTGGGCAACGTATACTCATACGGCAAAAAGTCTATTAACCGCCAGTTGGCATCTGACTTCTAACTACCATAACCCCACTGGATGCCATATTCTACCACTTCCACAGTAATCATCCTACCTTTTCTC